ATTTGAAATCATTAAGGCATGTTTTCCAGGTAGTCCTGTGTGGTGGGTCTGCTCGAATCCCGAAGCTACAGCAGCTGATCAAAGACATTTTCCCAACTGTGGAATTACTGAATTCAATTCCTCCAGATGAAGTTATTCCCATTGGTGCAGCCATAGAGGCAGGAATTCTGCTAGGGAAAGAGAATCCTTTGTTAGAAGAAGAAGCACTTATTGAATGTTCTGCCAAAGATATTCTTCTTAAGGTAAGGCTAAAATTATTTAACTTAGAAAATTTTACTGCTGCAGTGAATATATAGCACTACTTATGTGTGATTGATGTTGGAGGAACAGTATTATTATTAGTTCTACAGATTGGCTGTAGCTCAGCAGTAAGTGGTAACTGAGGTTTATTGACAAAAATAATGACAGGAAAAACTGATTTTAAGGGGAGATAGATTATGTCTTTGCTGTGTTGTAATAGCTGGACTTCATTTATTTATAGGAATGTCAATTTTTTTTTTTTCACTTGCTGTGATGGTAAATGTGGCAGAGAAAACTAATTTTGGATTTCTTTTCTCATGGAACACTGTTATAACACTTCCAGCTCAGTAAAGTACTTAAGAGAAAGGCATGAACTTTTTTTTTCTTTTTAAAGGGAGTAGACGAGTCAGGGGCTGACAAATTCACAGTGCTATTTCCATCAGGGACACCATTACCAGCTCGAAGGCAGCACACTCTGCATGCTCCTGGAAACACTTCTTCTGTATGCCTTGAATTATACGAGTCATTGGGGAAAATTCCCATGAATGAAGAAGGTAAATTTGCACAGGTGAGTGTATACGCATTCATATGCACTTTTAATATCAACTACTTGGAAATAAAAAAAACCTGAGAAGTTGGAAAAAGAAAGAAACCACCCTGAGACCAATCCCACCCCTACCAAAACTTCTTGTTTCAAAATTAGAATGACATGCATCTCTTTGGAAGCAGTCTTTAAGTGCTCTCTGTAAATGTGTTATGAAGTATTGAAGCACTTTTTAAAGAAGTGGAAGTTTCCCTTTTGAATTTCTAAATGGCAGGCTGGGTTTATTTAGCACTGTGGTAAGCTCACCTGGTGTAAGAGTTCATAACCAGTCATTCCAGCACTGCACATCTTCAACATTTTAGAAATGAAACTGCTGGAGGTAATGATGTAGCTAGTGTTTTTGTGCTGTTGATTACTTTTTCAATCTTCCTAGATTGGACAGGATCTTGGTATTAAATACCATGCTTGATTTTTCACAGTGGTAAGGTGATGTGATTAAATCCTCATCTGATATAAAGATATTCCTTGAGAGTCAACCTATTGAGAGAACACAACTTGTTTGAAACAGTGATGATGTGCTTACCGTGGCTTCAGTGCACTTAAAGCATCAGGGAGGGGGCAGATGTGGCTGAAATGGATGGAATACTTGAAAATAATTATTCCACCTTGGTCCTGCCCAAAGATCTGTAAGGGGATAGGGAAAGGATGATTCCTAATAATTACAGAACTGATCCTAAGTAAAGGAACATGGTTAGGTCTTACTGTAGTCTGTGAGAGTTGCAGGTACTCCAGCTGTCTTAGTGATAAACCCTGAAACAAAATCACGGAAACAGTGCAAATGGCTAGAAGCACACAGATTTGTACTACAGATGAATGAAGTCCACTGAGGCACGCTTCGATGCTGAATTGTCAGTATGAGATGCTAAACAGAATGAATTGCACACTTTAGCTATTGTGTCACTTCCATTAAACTGCTGTGCAAGGATTTAGAGAACTTAATAATTTTTTTTGTTTGTTTTAAATAGATTGTACTCCAGGATTTAGATAAAAAGGAGGATGGCCTGCATGATATACTAACTGTTCTCACTATGAAAAGGTACCCAAAATATTTATTGTTCTGTTTAACTTGCTATGTCACACTACTGACAAGCAGTCTTTTCTCCTGTTACAGAATGTTTACTTTTGTCTTGAGAAATTTCAGCATTTCATTGCTTACTATAGGGGTAAATTCTGTAGGAATGTGGTTTTTATGCAGTACCTTCTGTGCTTTCACTGTGTGATTCCTAAAGTAATAACACAGTTGTACAGATGATTTTTAGCAACTTTTGAACTGTTGATCTGTTTAACCATGCTTGAGAGCAGTCAGGATCTCAATTTTCTGTGGAAGGGGGGATGAGGTAGTTCTGTTGAATGCCTACACTTATGAAAAACTGAAGTAGAATCTTTGGTTGCTAAGGAATCCATGAAGAACTTCTCATGTGCAGCATTTGTGATGAAAACCTGTGTGCCTGTCAGACAGGGCTGTTAAGCATGAGAAACAATGCCACAGGAAATCAGGCTTCATAAATCTGCTTTTTACAGAATTACCTGTTTATTGCAGGAACATGAAATACCTTATGGCAAAGTGGGGAATTATACTGAAGAAATTAACTTTTTTAGGCCCTAATAGGAGTGCTTTGGCTCATTTGAAATAGTCTAAATAGTTTATAAAGATACCAGAAGGTGCAATTCTAAGTAGTCAAAGCAAATTTGTCTTCTGAAGACTGTCCTGAAGATCATACTGTGTTTATAAATAATATGAAAGTTGTCTAAATGTTGCTGAAAAACTACTACCCACGTTCAAAATACTTCATTTTCTTGTATTAACTGTCAGGTGTATTAATGCTCTATGAATAATCTTCTCCTAAATTACCTTGCTAGTTGTACAGAGATTTGCACTTATCATTGATAAAAACATTTTAGGGATTATATATGCAACCGTGTAGTGCAGAAAACCTGCATTATTTTTTAAAGAGGTTTTTAGCAATTTTTAAGTGGAAGGGAGGGAAAGTTCACTAGAACACATTTCTGTCTAAATATTAGTGTGACTTGTATGTCTAGATGAAGTAGGATTCAGTGTAATTTAAAAAGTCAAGTTCTCATGCTTTGAGAAGATCTGCTTATCTGTTGGTTGCTTTTGCTCAGAGTTCTCAAAATGAATATTTTTAATATTACTCCATATTCTGTTCACAAACCTGTATTAAATTTAGTTACAATGTTTAAATATGTTCCTGAATCTGTTCCAGCATATGTAGAGAAGGCGCATGATTTAATGGAGGGCGATAAGTGCATATCTAAATACTCAAACATACTTTTGTAAATCAGCTTAATCTATGTTGAAGCATATTCCTCCCTGGATATTTTGATGCTAATCTTTTTGTCTGTATGAAGACCATTGTTTATCCTCTCCAGAACATGCAGTAACATATGAAATGTTGTGCTGAGATAGTCCTAAACTTACCTTCCTTTTTTTTATCTAGGGATGGGTCCTTGCATGTTACCTGCACAGATCAAGATACTGGAAAGTGTGAAATTGTCACTGTTGAAGTGGCATCATAGTCCCTTTTGAAAGGCAACATTTTTCTAAGTTGATTTTTGTCTCTTGTTGGCTTTTCTGCCAAAGTGGTGACTCTCTGAGATGCCTTTAATGATTCTTAGGGGACTGTAATAAGCAGAAGTAAAATGTTAATTTGCCACCAAGTCTGTTTGGAGTGGGAAGCATGATGCAGAATGTTAATCAAGACATGCAAACAGCAGAGCATTGAGTTACAGCACCTGATTTAAAAAATGCAAAGGGCAAATCCTTGTGCCTGTGGTTTGGCAACAAGCATATTGCATAGTCTAAAAGATTTCTTCCTTGGACTAACCAGGTCGTGTACCCATTCAGCCAGTCTGTCAGTGGCCTCAACAGCATAGCATTGAACCAGTGAGGGCTAGACTGGTGAAAATACACTCTGTAATGACTGTACCAGGTTTTACTGAAATCCTGTGTGATCTTGATGTCTTAAACTGTAGAGGTGATGCCCATTTACGCTGGCCTCTTGAGCGGGATTTTTTTTCTGGAATTACTGTAAGGTGGTTTTGTGGTGTTACGTGAAAAATGTATGTGTAAGGGTTTTGTGTGCTTATTTATGTGTTATTAATAAAATACTTTTTTATGCAGATCCTGGCATTTTCCATTCTGTGTGGCACTGTTCTAATCTATATTTGGATATAAGATGGCAGCTTTTTTTGTTTTGGGTAGGGAAGAAATAAGGAGGAGATGGAGCAGGCAGGTGTAGTTACGGGATTTGAGGGTCTCAGCCTAATGTTCAGTGGAAGGGCAACAGTTCAACCCTGAGAGCCATATGTTATCTTGTAAAATGAACAACACAATCATTGTATTACAATAAGTTATTGTAATAATGGATGTGTAAGAGTAGAGCCTCAAAACTGGAGACAAACTAGAGTGAGGGATGCCTGTCTGAAGAGAGCTGTGTTCAATTACCTGTCTTACTGCAGGCTTCCTACATTGTCTTGTATTATTTCTGCCTACAAAAGCAAGAGATGCTGCATATTGTAGGTAGAAATCTTACTGTATTCCTAACACGTATCTGTGTGGTGTGGCTTACCAGCCTCGGTGTGGGGTTTGAATTTAAGAGGCTTCCTTGGGTGGTGAAGTGCTGGGAAAGTTCTGTCTCCGTTATCCCTGAGTCTTTGATGTCTGGAAAGTAAGTACGTTTCTGTATGAAGACTCCTAAAAGGGGTTTTTGGAGGGGGGGAAAACACAAAGTCTGGTTCTCTGGGGGCAGCCCTTACCAGTACAAGTGAGGAGTCACTGAGGCACCGACCGGTGGCCAGGCCCGTTCAGGGGGTGGTTGGCTGCGCGCAGTGGTGCCGGTTGGTGGGGCTTGGCCTGAAAGCTGTCCTGATAGGAAACGCCTCTTCTTAAACAAGCGTCCGAAACCCTCCCTGGTGGTTCGTTCTCTCGGCTCCGGAGCCGGCGGGCTGTGCTGCCGCACTAGAAGCGGAACCAGCCGCCCTCGCAGTACGTGCCGCCCGGCCGCGGCCCCTTTTGCCGTTGCCGCCGCGGCCCTGGGCGGG